ACTTCTCTTGGAACTTTATCATATGCTTTCTCTAAATCAATAAATATCATATGTAGATCCTCCTTATTCTCTCTATATTTCTCCATCAAACCTCTCAATAAATGTATGGCTTCCATAGTAGACCTACCCGACATGAATCCAATTTGATTTTGAGAAACATTAGTATTACATCTTAACCTATGCTCCATAACTCGCTCCCATATTTTTAAAGTATGACACATTAACTTAATTCCTCTATAATTCGCACACTCCTGTGCATCACCTTTATTCTTAAAAATAGGAATTAAAACACTCATTCTCCAATGATCTGGCATCTTTTTAGTCTTCAAAATAGCATTAAAAAGTTTAGTAAGCCAAGAAATTCCTTCTTCTCCTAAACATTTCCACATCTCTATTGGAATATCATCAGGTCCAACAGCTTTTCCACACTTCATTTTCTTTAAAGCCTTTCTAACTTCGGTTTTACTTATATGTTGATAAAAACAAAATTGTTTATTATCATTTGGGGTGATAAAGTCACTAAAGTCAATCATATTTTCACGTTCTGCATTAAAAAGTTTAGCAAAATACCTCATCCACCTTTGTTGAATATCATTTTCTAAGAAAAGTATTTTTTGATCTTCATCCTTGATACACTTCACTTGAACTAAATCCTTACTACTCTTACCTCTTTGTTTGGCTAACTTATACATATATCTTTCTCCCCTCTTAGTATCTAATATATTATATAAATCATTAAAAGCTAAACTCTTTGCATCGCAAATAACTTTCTTAGATTCCTTACGAGCCCCTTTATAGCTTTCCCAATTATCAGATTTTTTACATCTAAACCAATTTTTATAACAAATCTTCTTATTTTTTATCTTTTCTTACACATTTGGATTCCACCATCAACTATTTTTATTATTAGGAGCTTTTCCCTTTGAAACTCTAAGCACATCTTTTGCAATATTCTTAATATCACAAGCCACTTTTTTCCACATAATATTGGCATCCTCATGCACAGACAGAATCTTAAGATGACCTTTGAAGCCTCTTCAAAGCTTCAAATGCTTCACGCATGTCTCCTAGCCTATCTTAGGAGCTATCACCCATCTTCGTCATGCATTGTGTTATGGATTTCTCTAAATCCTAAAAGACATCATGTCTCAAGTTCTTGAACTTAGAAGCAAATTCTAAGTTTCTCCTACCCCATTTGTTGGAACAAAAGAAACCAACAAATACCCTTCTCATGCACGTTGCTTTGAGATATTCAAAAGTTTCAAATATATCGTTGCATGAATCATTTGAACTTGGAACCAACTTCCAAGTCCCTTCTATCATATTCATTGGAACATAAAAAATCAATGAATAGCCTTTCCAAACATAGGACTCAACTCATACTTTCCTCCATTCACTTAGCCTAAATTAAGTTGATGACCTCCCTCTTTGAACATCAATTGTTCAGAGAATATTTATGAGCTCACAACTTCCAAGTTGCACATCTCTTCTTCTCATTTACCTAACACACATTTGGTAAATGATTACACATCATTGAGCATATGGTTCAATGATTTCCCTTCTCATATGCAACCTATAGGTTGTGTATCCCTTCATCCCTTTCTATTACTCAAATGTTGTAGGAAGATCTTCTCATTCTTCTAACCTAAATTAGGAGAGTGTGCATCTTTATTTGAATGTCAAATGTTCAAGGAACTTTAAGGAGTTTGCAACTTCCAAGTTGCATCTTCTTCTCCTCCATTCCTCCAACTCAAATTGTAAGAATGAACCTCTTCTTTGGACACCAAATGTTCAAAGGAACTCCAATTTGCAATCCCTAGGTTGCACTTTGGACCACTTATTTTCCTACAAGCCTAAATGGTAGGAAACCTCCAAATTCTTCTTCATTAGCCTAGCTTCAAATTAGGAAAATAAATATTTCTCTTTGAACATCAAATGTTCAAAAAACATTCATGGATTTGCAACTCACAAGTTGCATGTTCCTTCCCTCATTTCTACAACTCAAAAGTTATAGTAAACCCCATCATTCTCCTAAATCCGAAATAAGAGAATGCATTTCTCTCTTTGGACAACAAATGTTCAAAGAACTTTCATTGATTTGAAATCTCTAAATTGCATCTCTCCATTTTTTCCTACAAGTCAAAATTGTAGAGAAATTCTCCTCTTTCTACAACCCAAAAGTTGTATGAAACTCTTATTCATTCAACCCATATTGAGTGAATTAAACCTATGACAAATCACCTATTTGTTGTATAAAAAAAATCAACAATTAGTTCAATCCAAATCATTTATTTGTTGAACCAAATTTAGCAAATAATCTCATATCAAGCAAAGGAATCAAAATCCTAGCCTTCTTTCATTCTCCGAGCCTAAACTAGGTGAATGAGTTCCTCTCTTTGGACACCCGAAAGTCCAAAGAATCTTTGATGTGTAGGCCAAACTTACACATCATTCTCTCATGTTTGCTTAATCTGAATTTAGCAAACTAAATACTCATCATTGAACATAAAAGTTCAATGATAATCCCCCTTGATTTGTAACTCTAAAGTTACAAGTCTTTCTCATGTATTGAGCTAAGCTCAATAAGTGACTCACCTTTGTTTGTCTAATTCAAATTAAGCAAATGAAATATGACATCTTGAATACAAAAATTCAATCAGACATCCTTTTGATTTGTAGCCTCAAAGCTACTAATCACCCCTCACTTCTATATGTTCCAAAGCCTTAGAAGATATAATATCCTAGCCCAAAAGCTATAGGTCCACGCTCCTCCAACTCCAAAGTTGTTGGAGATTTCCCCTATTTAGCTCTAAAAGCTAAAGGGAGTTTTCCATCATTTAGCCCAAAAGCTAAATGTTGGGTTCCTACTTTCTCTTCTTAGCTCCAAAAGCTAAGGAGAATTCTTCAACACATTGTCCAAAAGCTATATGTTGGATGTGGGCTCCGAAAATTCCATAAGTGTGATCCTAACCTCTCCGTGCCATCCGTCAAATTTTTTTTTGAATGTTTGTGTGACAACGACGATAGAGAGTTTTAACGAGATTAGGTTCCGAGGGAATTTTTAGAAGGCAGTTTGAGTTTTAGATAAGACACTACCCAGAGATTTCGCCCTCATTTGGTGAGGACTTTTTGATCTGAGTTCTGGTTTCCTATAGGCGCAAGCCCCTATAGTTAATTATCCCTCCTAATAATAGGAGAGAACTTTCGATTAAGGCTAGTCGTAAAAGAGGTCAAATAGGTTATAAACCTATCGTATAATAGCAACAATTTTAGGGTTTAAATTTTGA